TTCAGTAGGTCCCATAAAATACCTGTACTTTATATTTCTGGCCAAGTCAAAGCCCTGAGTCAAATCCAATTGAAAATCTGTGGATATTCTTGAAGAGAGCAGCCCATTGCCATTCACCACAGAATTTGACTGAACTCGAACAATTCTGCAAGGAAGATTGGGCAAACATTCCCCCAATCTAAGTCTGCAAAGCTAGTAGAGACGTATCCAAAGAGACTGATGGCTGTAATTACAGCAAAAGGTGGCTCTACTAAGTATTAATTCAGGAGATTGATGACTTAACCAACCCTGACATTGTTTTTTCATTTTAAAATTAATTTTCTGAACTGTTGACTTTCTTTTCAATTGTTTGACATTGTAAGGCAAAATTTGTAAACAAAGCTGGTAGAGGTTTTTTGATAATGGGTTTTGATCTCAGGCTGTATGACAAAGTAACTACTTCAAAAGGGTATGATGACTTTCTATAGGCACTGTATATAAGTGTAAATAATAATAATAAAATGAATACATTTATTCCAGACCCTAGCAGCATACATATTTAGGTGGGCCACAGGGGGGGGGGCATGCATGTTGTCACGGGGGCACTGCCCCCCCCGGCCTCCCCCAGAGCTGCCATCTCTAGACAGAAAAAAAGTCATAGACAGCAGAAATCGACATTACTTGGAGACTCGATGAGGATCAGGATGTGCTACCTTCAGCCATCGAGTAGGATCATTAATCCATTCCAATGTTTCTCTAAAAGAACACTGACCGCCAATACTGCAAACTTTATCAAAATACCGACACTTGGCATCAGCCACCAAAGTACATATATAACTCTCCTGATGTCCCGTTTCAATTACACTGTGACCATATTTTTACATTTCATGTACTTTCTTGTCTAACACCTGTGATCTCCAATAGCTGCCATTCGAATTCAAAGGTTTGTTTTCCCATAAATAAATGAACCATACCTCGGCATGAAAGTTCCCTGGACTGAGCCAGGGGGTGAGGACTCGGCCCCCAAATGCCCCCTGCTGTCCACAGCTGGTGTACTCACTCTGGATGAGGAACTGAAACCGCGGGTGCTCTTCAGTGAATTTGGCACTGGGCCGGTTTTGTTCCGAGTCGCGGTGGCCCCCGGATTCCAGCCACTTGGTGCCAAACATCTTGCAGTAATCCAGCTCCGCCCCCTTCCTCTCCTCCGGTGTGACCTAAATATACCACCAGGGGGAGCAACAGAGTACAACCTCTCATATTTAACATCATCCCAAGGAGATGGCTTGCAGAACCAGCAGAGCCTTCAACAGGTCTGAAAAGTTCCTGTATGTTTCTCAAACAAAACGGCTTTCCGGTGCTGCCAGACACATGCTATGGACATCTATAGATAACAGCTCAAGAACGTGGGTAAAAGTTGGGTACAGGAAACTGTATCTAGTGACAGTTGTAAGTCTGTCTACTGACGAAACCATGGAGTTGACTAATACACCATGCCAGCTTTTGACTGTCCATGCAGGAACATCACTTTGTCTTCCTGATCCCTGCTACACATGCATCACTTCAGCAGTAACGTTCTCTAGACACTAGCCAGTCTGTCAGTCGCGCACCTGAGACTTGTTGAGCGCCTCCAGCTGGCCGATGGAGGCGATGAGGAGCTGCCGCGCCGTTTGGAAGTCCCTCTCTGCCCCCATCAGCGGGTTCCTGTGGCAAGACAGCTGCTGCAGGCTGGCCAGCTTCTCCAGCTCGTTTACCACAGACCACTGTGAGAATCAAGGGAGACGAATCACAGGAGGGCCTGTTCCCATAGCGACACTGATAGCAGGCGGGACCTCTACGGAGAGCTCAATTAGTGAAATTATTGCCCGACTCACATACCAAAAACAGTCCTATTACCCATCATAAATTACCCATAATCATATAGTAATATACCACTACAAAAGAACTGTAAAATAGGGCTGTGTGATATGGCATAAAATTCATATTGTGGTATAATTTGAACCATAGAAGGTAGACGGTATATATTCCGATATATAATTTGATCTGTAACTTTCATTATAACTGTTTTTGAAAGGGTAACATATCTCCATAGCAAAGGCATTGCAGCAGGAAGTGGTATAGTAAACTGTTAACACATTTCAAAGTAGTCATGAACGTAGAATGTGTAAATCTGCAATTGTAGAAAAAATATGAAAACATTTCAAGTAACTTCCCTGGTTTTATCTTATATTAAGAACACAGGTTGGTTTTGAAAATTACAAGTAAGCAGAAAACAAGACACAGAACCAAAAGCTACAAAACTAATACAATTAGACTAGTGTCATAACTCCACCTATATTAGAATAACCATCTCTCCCATAAAGGTCCTGCCAGGCAGAGTCCTGCACGGGTTCGGGTACCCGACGGGTGACCCGCAAATTTTGATGAAACGGGTGAAAAATATTCTACTGTGTCGGATACGGGTTCGGGTCGGGTCGGACGCAGGAGAGCGCGGGTCTAAATTGCGGTTTTTCAAAACATCATGTGCCAACAAAAGCTACCCTAGGGCTATATTTTAATGACACACAAAACTCCCTGCATTCAAGATGATAAAACGTAAAATCAGTTTATATTATTTATCAGCTCCATAACAGGTGTTATCTCTCCCACTTTCATTTTCAAAAAACGCACGTGATCTCCTGCAGTTGTTCGAAATGGATGCTGAGGAGTTGAAAAGAAAAGTAGCAAGTGGAGAGTTCAAAGTTGTGGCCAATACCTCCACTAAAATCAAGTCCGACGTGTGGGAGAATTTCAGAGTTATCTCAGATAACGAAAACAACTCTTTTGACGTTTTGTGTTGCTGGAGAGAGCATGAGCGTTTGTTTCCCAATATTGCTCATATTGACGGGTACGGACGGGTGCGGTTTGTCAAAATCAGACCCGTGCAGGACTCTGCTGCCAGGTGCAGCAATAATCATATAAATCATATTAATAATACATTATTTATTATTTGACGCGACTTGATTACGTCATTTTTGCAGATGTAGAGCGGAAATTTCTGCGGTAGGGTGGTATAATCAAAATCTCTCTTGCTAAATTTATATCGTATGCCATTTATACCGCACAGTACTACTGTAAAATATTCAAAAAGCTTTAATTAAGTAGAGGTGCTTACAAGAAAAACTGTGATTGATCACTTCGGACGTGTTCAGATGATCATTACCTCTGAAATTTTGTTGTCATCCAATGCTAGAATCTTCAGTGCAGGAAACATTGCAGTCTTGCCTCCTTAAAATAAAGGGAATCAAAAGGTGTTACACTTTGCCACAGGCCAGAGTAATACTATATGGTTTTCTAATACTTTAAACCACAGCCCACATTCAAAAACTAATGGAATAAAGTACACTGACATTCTGAAAGCTTAAAAAGCATCTTGCAACTTTACCTGGACATACGTCATTAAACTGCAGGGACGAGAGCCCAGTTTCAGCTAAGTTGAGCTTTTCCAACCTGTAATTTAAAAGACATTTTTAATTAAGAACATAAGAAATTTACAAACGAGAGGAGGCCATTCGGCCAATCAGAACTTAACTAATAGCTCAGAGTTGTTAAAATCTCATCTAGCTCTGATTTAAAGGAACCCAGGGTTTTAGCTTCCGCTACACTAGCAGGAAGACTATTCCATACTCTAACTACACGCTGTGTAAAGAAGTGCTTCCTCAAATTTGTTTTAAAGTGTTCTCCCTCTAATTTCCACTTATGGCCACGAGTTCTAGTATCTAAACTAATATTGAAATAACCTATTGGGCCGAACAGCATCCAGACCCATTAGAATCTTATATACCTGGATCATGTCCCCCCTTAGTCTCCTTTGCTCAAGGCTAAACAGATTCAGCTCAGCTAACCTCTCCTCATAAGACATTCCTCTAACACCAGGAATCATTCTCGTAGCCCTCCGTTGCACCCTTTCCAAGGCAGCAATGTACTTCTTAAGGTATGGTGACCAAACCTGCACACAGTATTCTAGGTGGGGTCTTACCAAGGAATTATTTAATCGTAGCATCACCTCCCTGGACTTAAACTCCACACACCTAGAGATGTAACCCAACATTCTAAAGGCCTTTGTTATTGCTTCCCCACACTGGCGAGAGTGGGACATGGAAGCATCAACATACACACTGAGATCTTTCTCATAATCAGCTACCTTTATTTCATTGGAACCCATAAAATATCTGTACTTTATATTTCTGCATGGATTACCTTACATTTATCTGTGTTAAATTTCATCTACCAGGTATCAGCCCAGTCGCTAATTAAATCCAGATCCCGTTGTAGCCCCTCTGCTGCTAGATCAGTATCTGCTACACCACCCACCTTGGTGTCGTCTGCAAATTTAACCAGTTTACTGTATGTATTGGTGTCAATATCATTAATGTAAATTAGGAACAATAGTGGTCCTAAAGTTGAACCCTGCGGTACCCCACTACTGTATGAACGCAGGCCCACTGTGACATTGTGCCTCTAATAACTACTCGCTGATTCCTGTCTGTTAACCAGTTTTCGATCCAAGCTGCTACAGTTCCAAAAATCCCTGCAGCTTTGAGCTTAAGCAAGAGCCGTTTGTGGGGGACAACATCAAAGGCTTTCTGGAAATCTAAGTAGATCACATTGTAGGCCTTTTTGTGATAATTTTTTCTTGTAGCTTCCTCAAACAACTCAAGTAAATTAGTTAAACATGATCTACCTCTCCTAAATCCATGTTGGCTATCCCTCAGAATGTTATTTGCATCCAGGTAATCTACCATTTTCACTTGGATTATAGCTTCCATTATTCTTCCAGTAATGCAAGTTAAACTGATTCGCCTGTTGTTTGCTAGATCACTTCTATCCCCTTTTTTTGAATATGGGTGTTATATTAGCATGCTTACAATCAGAAAGTACCACACCCTGCAAATAACGATTTCTGGAATAGTAAAGATAAAGGTTAGCTAATAATATCCCTCATCTCTTTTAAAACTATAAGTAAGATGCCACCAGGGCCTTGCAATTTATTTATTTTGAGCTTAGCTAGGCTTAGTTCCACATCAGCCTGTTATACATATATTGGTCATAGACAACGCTGTATTAGTTCTAAATGGTGGTAAGTTACTCATGTTCTCTA